AATGGTTTGATGCTTTTGGACTGAGCTCCCGCCTCCCACATGTTCCCCCTCCCCCTCTCATTTCCAGTCCATCAGGGCAAAGGCAGATGGCTGTGTGTCTCCTGCCTGCCCCTTCCCCAGCTCTAGGCCTCGGCCCTTCGGTGGTGACTTTCTCCCTGGGAGAAAGCAGACAATTTTCATTCTGCAGCCCGTGGAACCATTCCTGGGTCAGGTCACACACATAAAGAGACATTCCAGAATGTACCCACAGGGTAGTTGTTGCTGTAGCTTTGTTTTGTTTTTGAATCTCTCAGTGAGAAAAGATTCATATAAATATGAAGCCCAGAGAGGGGGGAGGGAGGAGAAAACTACCAGAAAAACCCAAGCCTTTACAACCACTTTATTAAGATGTGCACTTTTAAATTGAATTTCTATTTCAGTTTTAACTGAAATGATTGGTTGGAACCTTATGCTCAGAAAGAACCATTTTAAATGAGGTTTTAATTCCAGCTTTTCCTGCCGCCCCATCGCTAAATAAAAGTGACATCCGTTAATCCTCTCCAGAATAAAAAGCACAAGAAGCCTCATTTTTTCACCTTCATGGTCTTTCCCAAGAGGGTCCTTCCCTAAGAAAGGGTAGAAAGGATCTTTTTTTGCGACAGGAGAGGACAAGCACTCTCATGGGATTGCTTTCCATTGATAGCTACATTGGAGCGAGGCCCAAGAATACTGGTGGACAGATTTTGGTATCAATGCGGCCATCTAGGTCCATTTTTCCTAGTGACAAAGGTGCCAGAGGGGAGAAGAAGCCCTCCCCAAGCAAGCGGGCCTGCCCTCATCTCTTCCAGTCACAGCATTTATGTTTTGACTCTGCATCTTGGAGTTGCTCCCTCAATTCTGCATCTTAACTCCTGACCTGACGGCAGACTCCACTCAGCTGTTATGTTTCTCCATTTTCTCCCAAAAGAAATCATTGAAAGCCATCCCCTAGTAGGCCTGGGTCTTTGGGCCACGGCAGTGAGAGGCAACCTCTCCGCCAAGGCAGGCCCAGGTAGGAAACTCTGCAGGTGCGATTTTGGGAGGGGGTGGAGATGCCTGCTGAGGAAGTGCCACCAGTCAGTATGCCCGTTTTGGGCCCACTTGACTGAAATTCCAGCGAGAGGTTTTTCTTTAATACTGTGGAGCATACTCAGAGACCCTGTCTCCGCTGGACAAGTACGAATCACCTACATATCTGACAGTCCAGGTAGCATGAATATCTGCTCTCATAACTCTGATATTACCATAACAATTTAACGCTCACACTCACACACACACACACACACACCCCACACACACACACACACACCACATACACACACACACACACACACACCACACACACACACACACACACACACACACACTCACGCTCCCCAAACCTTTGGAATTTTCCTGTTGGGAGAGATCTAGCTGATGGTTCAAACAGACCCATTAATTCGGGTCCCCTTACACTTCGGAAATCTGGCAAGCGAAGAAACATCAGTGTAAAGCATGAGCTTCCACTTTGGCCATTTCCGGCATTTTTTTTTCTTCTAGAAACCCAAGTTTGGTTTTCCAAGCCATCAGTTCACCCAGAGCTTTCAGATGGATGGAAACACATAGAATCCTTCATCAAAATTAGAAGCCAGACTCCTGGTTTTAGCAAATCATTGGTGAGAATAACAAAATTTTGTTTCTCATAATTGTTAGCAGCAGATGCTTAGCTTCAAGAGGAAGGAGATTTTAGAAGGCTGGCCTATTCACAACTGGGTCTCTGGCCTCCGAGGTCAGAATAGACTTTGGGCTATGATTAGATAATTTAGACCAAGCAAACCAAACCACTCTGGCCTGAAATGCTATGCAAACTGGTCCCTTCTCACTAGGGGACATCCCGACTGATTGCTACTTTAGTCTCTACCCTTCACTTTATATGTGTGTGTGTGTGTGCGCGCGCGTGTGTAAGTGTGACTGTTGAAAGAAGCACAGCTTTTCAGAGCCTTCTATCTGTAATGCTCTGAATTAAGGAAAAGGCAAAGATAGTAAATAAAGAAAAAGTAATATTCTAAATTTGTCCCAAAGATGACTCATGAGAAAGATCCTCTTACTGATACATTCAGCAGGGGGTGAAGGGCTGGGAGGAGGAGGGAGAAGAGATTGTTGATAGTGAAGCTAAGCAAGTAGATTTTCCCTTAAATATATCTTCATTTCTCTTCTACAGCTGACTCCCTGGAGATGTGAAATGGCATTGTTTTTCAATGAAATTCTAAACTTTTCAGCTAAATTCCTTCATTAGTCGAATGGCTCCTAGTATTTACTTTCCATCATTTTCTTGCCGGGACAATCGTAATTATAATTCTGTTGACATTATGCTTAAACGGTGGGGGAGGGGTACATGTGTGTTTAAACCCCCCAACAATGAGACCTTTCATCCAGCTGGTCTTTTTTCTTATGTGCTGTACCCCACAGTATCCATTGAGGGCTAGTCAAAGGAGAACAGATAAAAGCAATCAAGGAATAGCGGCTAGTATATAATTTTGGCAACAACAAAAACCCAAGAAGAGTTAGGATGTTCTACTATTGCTGTCTTTCCGTTCTCAGACAATCTAAACTTACTTTCCCTGAAAAATCATGTGTTGGGGACACTTTACATCTGCCTTGGACAAAAGCAGAAGATTCCCATAAGTTGATTGTTCTTTGTTCAACTATTTGGTTCTGCTGCCTTGAAGATACAACCCACCAAACAAGCCTTGACGATCTTCAGAACAGTTTTACAAAAGTGGCTTCTCTCAGTCACAGCAAAAATGGAGCTCCTGGACAAAGCTGAATGCTAGCAAGACAGAGTGACTCTCGGGAGCAAAGGAGGTCCCCCCAGACAGGCAGACATAAGAGGGAGCAAGAGCATCTTCATCTCCAAAGAACTTCAGCTTACTCTATCCTCCGAGAAGCCATGAGACTCACAAGGGCATTAAGCACTTCTCAGAGGACGTTACAGAGCCACAAAAAGGGGGAAGAGGTGAAACTTTCTTACACTAACAACAGAAATACAGCATTTTTTTTTCCTAGTTCTATTGATTCTGTTGCTGGTCCCCACTTCTCTCCACACCATTTGGAGGGACAGTGAGGCATCTCTTCCTTCATTGGCAGACATTCTCAAGAAGACTTTTTGAGGTGTCCTTTTCAACAAAAAAAGGCAATGACCAACCTGTATCCTCACTATGCAAAGGAGGTAAACCCCCAATACCTCCAGTGTCCTCTTCTCTTCTTGTTCTGTGCTTTCTATTCCACCAGCCCCACAATCTTTTACTCTATTGCACCAGACCAATCTGTCCTTACTCTACAACTCTACCTGCTTCTAAACCAAGAACTTTGCTATCTATCTGTCTTCTGTATCAGACACAAGATTACGGAATATTATGATCCTGAGAAATACTCATGGTTACAAGCCTCCTTCTAATGTTATCAGCTTTTGGAAGAATCAAAACAGACCAAAGTATCCCTGAGGGTAAGTCAAGCTTTTTGCAGTCCAATGTAGACCCTGTTTAGAGCAGTACGCATATGTATTCAATGTCTGTCTGCATGTTTAGCATATATAGACTCTACATTTACCTAAGTCTTACACAATGCACATATAAACATATACGTATAAACATACATGCACATGGGCGCACACATGTATATGTGTATGCATGCGTACATTTATATGGGGCTATGTCTGTAATGCTCTGCCCCTTAACTTCAAACACTTTGTATCAAAGCAGGCTGAAAAGGGAAGAATGCATTGGGCTGTAACTATGCCAAGGGCAGCAGAGAGGGAAGGAGGGAAGTGGGACAGATTCAGAAGAAATCAGACAAGTTTTCTGGGAGGGCAGCCGCAGCAGCATGCTTCGAGCCCATCCTGGACATAGGAGTTGGGACAGAGCCTGGGAAGAAAGGAGGCTGACTCCTTTTGAACAAGACCAATGCTGATGTTATCTCCATTTGTAAGAGGATGGGGGTCTGGGCAGCAGTTGAACCCCAACCAGCCCCACACACCCAGCTTGGAGCCTTAGCATGGAAACAGAAAGTGAATTAAAAAAAAATATATATATATATATATATATATAAATGATTTTATATATGTATATGTGTGTGTGTGTGTATATATATATATATATATATATATATATATATATACACATATATATACATACATGTTTAATGAAGCCCTAGTATAGAACTGATTGTCTGTGAGATTAGGGCTGCTTTTGTAAAGTGCCCCCCTCCAGGAGAGGCCCAACTGATCAGCGAAATCCCTTTAAGACAGCTTTATCAGAGCTGACTCTTCCAGGGCCCTGGGAGGCTCTGCTCCAAACAGCAGCTGTTGTCCATCTTTGCTGTCACTGGGCTGTGCTGGTTGTGTCCTCTTATACACAACCTCTCCCCCCCCCCAGAAAGAAAAACACTCCTGTTTGTATAAGAAATGCCTTCTGGCTCTGTGGGAAGTTCTGTCCCCTTCCTCCATCTGTGGGTTGCCTCCTTCCTCCAGACTCCAGCCATTCCTGGGGCGAAAGGGAAAGCAGTGTGTCCTGTTGCCAGTGTGATGCCCCATGTCTGACTTCCCTGATTCTCCCTCATCTCTTTTGTTCTTAGAAAGGGGAATAGAGGCAGGCATTTATTCACGCAGGTTTTGGACAAAGCAAAAAACCTAAGTGTCACAGACTCAAGAAAGTGCTAAGTAGCCTATTGCCAGGGACCAAAACCTTGGAATTAGGGTTAGGTTTTCTGCATGGCCACACAAGCCACCTGAGCTTTGCCTGCCCTCATGGAGAGCCCTAGTCTGAGCCCTACAAGAAGGCTGGTCTAAGAAGAGTCCAGAGGCCCAGCTATCCCTTCATTGGGGATGAAGGGCCACCAAAGTGCCCAGCTACTTCTGTCCAGGCCAAGTAGTGGTGCCACCCAGGCCTGGTATCTCTGGGAAAGAGGAGAGGGGCAAGGTGAGAAGAAAAGAACCAGGTACCTACCCCTTCAGCAGCTGGGCTTCTCGGGAGTCTGGGGTGCTGAGCTAATGGGATGCCGACATGGACCACGCGCCTTCCATCCTCCACACGGAAAAGGCGTAACTGAGCCTCTCGTGGGCCACATAGCTGCAGCTGGTCATCTTATTGTCCATCTCGTCGCTCTGCAGCACCTGGTAGAGGAAGTCTATATACCTAGCGGCCAGCTTCAGGGTCTGGATTTTGCTGAGTTTATCCGAGGGCAGAGTGGGGATGATCTTACGCAGGGCTGCGAAGGCTTCGTTCAGGGACTGCGTCCTCTGCCTCTCCCGGACGTTGGCCAGGATCCTCTGGCTCTGCAGCTCCTCATAGGACTGCGAGCTGGGGCTGCCCTTCTTCCCCCTCTTGCCCGGGGTGGGGCTGCCATCTTCGCTGGATTTCTTGCTGTAGCTCCTCTTCCTGCCAAACCTCTTGGGCTGCCTCTCCAGCTCCTCTTCGCTGGTGCCCAAGCTGTCCACGGGAGAGACCGGAGAACTGGAGCCTTCCTCCATTCTTTCTGCAAGGAGGCAAGGGGAAGGAGGAAGGGAACAAACTTAGACAAACTCACGGCCTCTGTCTCTCTCTCTCTCTCTCTCTCTCTCTCTCTCTCTCTCTCTCTCTCTCTCTCTCTCTCTCTCTCTCTCTGCTTTCCCCTCTCCTTCCTTCCTTCCGTGTGTGTGTGTGTGTGTGTGTGTGTGTGTGTGTGTGTGCGCGAGCGGTGTGAGCGCGCGTGTAAGCCTCAATGTGTTTGAAATTCCTGAGACAGATCCTTTTGGAAAAACAGAAGTTTTGCTGACCCGACGTTTTCCAAGTTTCTCGAAAGTCTCTTATTTCAAGGACGGGTTGTGCAAAATTGAGGTCTTTGAGAGAGGAAGTTATTCTAACTTTTTTGGAAACTTTAGCTGGGCTCCGTTGCTAAATAGTTGTCAGAAGTGAGGGAGGTGCGGAGCCCAGCGCTGATTGGACGCCGGCTCAAGGGGGAGGAAAATGAGTTTCTTTTCTTTCTTTCTTTTCCCCCCTTCCTTCCCCCTCCCTCCCTGCTAAAACTTTCACAGTTTTGGGTTACACTGAGCCGAAATCTGGGGAAGGCACCTCGAAAGGCGAACTGCTTCTCCCGTCTCTCTGCCCCCCTCCACTATGGGGGGACCTTTCGCTCCCCTCCCCCGCCCCCAGCTCCCGCTCCTAGCCCCTGCCCGGCCCTGGACACTCGTGGCACAGCACGGCCCGCCTGGGGGCCTCCCTCCAGCTAGACCCTCGGCGGCGGCGGCGGCGGCGGCGGCGGCGGCTTTGTTTGCTGGCTTGCCCGCTTCGGAAGTCGGGGCTGGGCTGCAGGGCTCTCCTAGTCCCTCAACTGGGCTCCCCTCCCCTTCCCTTCCCGGGGCCGGCCGGGTGACCGCGCTCCAGCACTGCTAACGGACCTCTCTCGCTTGCTTCGGGAGTCCGGCGAGCGCAGAGCCGGAGCTGGAGCCATCCGAGCCCGAGAGCCCGCCTCCGGGGGAGCGCTTTGAGAAGCCTCGGTAGGGACAGCGCCGTCGGGGATGAGCCGGCCCTGGCATACTGAGGCCCCGCATCCCCACCAGGCATCCCGAGGGACCTGAGAAGGACCCGAGAGAGAAGGGGGAAGTTTAGTGGGCAGTTCAGTACTAGATAGGAAAGATGTGGAAAGGAAGAAGGGGAGAGAGCGAGGGGGAAAGAGATCCCAAAAGGGGGAGAAAGAGAACAGGGAAGTGATCAATTGCGACTGAAAAGAAAGAATAGAGAAAGGAAGAAAAAAGAGAAAAAAAATAAATGGGCAGAAAAGAGAAGAGATGAATAAGGAGACAGAGACACCGAGAGAAGAAAAAAGGAAAGAGAAAAGAATGAACAAGAGGAGGGGAGTGAGTTGAGGAGGAAGAGAGAATTCAAGTGTTCCGTTCCGTTCCCTGATCCCCGCTCCCTAAAATCCTTTCCCCTAGACCTTACCTGAGGTGCAAATTCACAAAGAAAGCCTGATTTCTCAGAGTTCTGGAAGTGAAGACATTTAACGGTCACTTAGGAAAAGGGACTTGTCAAGAGACCAGAAGTTCTGTGAAAGTCTTTTGTGTATCACGCCCCCCCCACCCCCAACAACAGGGACAACCCTAGACATCTATTTACACGAATGAGTCAAACAGGAGTCCTCGATTTAACTGTAAAGCACCAGCATACAGACAGAAATGGAAGCACCATCCATCTCTGGGAACTGTTGCGTCTCGTGCCCAGAGCTGAAAACGCCACTGAAATAGTTGTTTTTAAAGCTCCCATATTCTAAGTGTGCAGCAGTGTGGGCGAATGTTCACTGAAGAGTCCCTTCAGTACTTTTTACAAATGCATTTCTGCATTTCTGCAAAGCCAGCAAAACTCCAAAATCAAAGAGACGCAACAGGAATGAAAAGAGGCCCCCGGGGCTGTGGGAGCAGCCCTTCCACGTGCTTGCGTGGATTTCACTGTCTTGTTGGCACATTCCGCCTTTGCCCAACTCCCTTCAACTTCTTTCCCCTAGCTTTCCGGTGAAACTCGGGGAAATGATTTTGGGGTAGATAGGTAACCTGGTGAACCTCAAGGGTGGTTTACTTTGTAATGCGATTTTAAGCAGAGGTGCTTTCCTGATGACCGTTTCTAAACCTATTTTCCCATCATTTTAAAACTTGGTATGCGGCCGTATTATCTTAAAATTTGGAGGTGTCATTGGTGTGAAGAAGGGAGCTACTTTGTTGCCAAGAAATTGGGAAGAGCAAGCTAATTGTGGCAGCCCAATAATTAAAAATAAATATTGGCTTTCTGGATTCTCCTTTCCGTCCTGGTAAGGTTCTATATACAGAATAACAAGCTTCTCCTAGAAAATTAGTTTGTTTGAAAAGAAAAAAAAGTTTGGATTCAGATTTTTTTTTTTTGGAGCTAGCATCCCTCTACTTAACTCTTTGGAGTCACCACTAAAGTACTAAAGTAGTCTGTTTCTTTCATGCAATTGACAGAGTCGACCGCCACATTCAGAAAGGGAGCGTGTGTGTGTTTCTAGTTTCTCTCTCACTCCTGCACTGAACAGTTAGTCCACATGTGGACCCCAAAGTTGCCAGAGCCGTTTGAAGTGGTTCAGTGTGAGTCCTTTGTTTCGCAGTTAGCTTTGGGCTTGAGGACTGGAGGTAGTTTTATAACTTTGATGCCTTTGAAAATATTCCCAGGTGACCAGGTCTCAATTAGGCATTCTCCTAGTGCAGGACTGTCAAAGAACGCAGCCTGATCAAGGCAAAGGACTACACTGCTTGATTGGAACTGAAAACCCTACTCGGAATGACCAGAAAGTGATGGGAGCTATTTTGTGCCGGTTTCGCTCTGCTCGCATTCCTGCCCGGCTGCTCTCAGGGACCCAGAGTCTCACCGAAGAGCACACTGGGCAGACACTTGAAGACAGGTCAGCAGCCAGCCTCAGCAAAGTACAAAGCTCATTTTCCTTTTCCTTTTCTCTTTCTTTTTCCCCCCCCATTACTCTCCCCCTTTGCTTCAATTCCTAAAATGGAGGGGGATTGCTTAATGCACACCTAATTCTAAATGCCAGCTAAATCATTTGTAAAACTTTTGTTAACAGTTTGTTTCAGAAGAGATATGACTACATAGTAGCTTGGCTTTTTTTGTGTTGGGGTGGTTAGGACTTCCCAGGGACAGCCAATCCTTCCTCATCTGTTTGAGCAGGACCTCAGTTTCTCCATCCTAGAAAAAATGAAAACTCTCCCCTTTGTAAACATCTGACAGGGAAGCAGTAAGTGCTTAAGGAGTGCTGGTTGAATGAATAAATTTTTAAAAAAAGGAACAGGAGAAAAATTATATATTCTCAACCTATTGTGTTTATGGGTCTTACTGTCTTTCATAAATATTACTAAGAATTGGAAGGCTATTCTTCCTTACTTAATTTGCAGTTAGTGTCACCCCCAAGATAAACCTCAGTTTCCTCATCTGTGAAATGGGGGTAAAGAATGCAGCTACCCCACGGGGTTGTTATTGAGCATCAGGGTGAGTTGTGTCAGCAAAACACTTTGCACACTTTAAAGCCCTATGTAAATGCCCACTGTGAGCTGGGGATTGGGTGTTCCCTTACTGGCTTTGGAATGAATGACTGAAGTCAAGGAATTCCTGAGGACCACAGAGGCTGCTTTCCACACCATGCTTTGGCCTCTTCTAGCTCTGACTACATTCAGGGTCAAAAGAAGAGCACTCCCCACCTCCATGGTCTCCTCTTTCCCCTCCTCCACTTCTATCCTCCCCCCTTTCCCTCTCTTTTTCATCTTCCTCCCCTCAACCATGGAGAACCAAAAAGGTTATTTACAATCGGGCTGTTTTTCGGAGTCCTCTTTTTTTCCCCCTTCCTTTCTTTCTTTCTTTCTTTTTTTTATAGCAGGGACAGTTCATCCTTTAGTTTAATGGCAAAGCTGCTTTGCTGGAAAAGTCCAGCAACGGAGATCCTTTAGGGAACAGCTTCCCCTCCCTCCCCCCAGTGCCTGGACTTCTTGAGTTGTTAATGGAGCCCTGATTGCAGAGAGGTGCTCACCACAGGCCTTCAGAAAAGGACTGGAGCCTACATCTTGGGTAAGGCTCAGCTTTCCTGTGCAAGGCCAGGATGGGGTGTGCCCTAGGAGGTAGGAGGAAGAGCTCAGCAATTTGTAGATGTGATTTGAGGACTCCTGAAAGTCGTTGGGAGTATAGCCTCCAGGAGGAGAGGAAAGGAGAGGAGAGGCTAGGGGAGGTGCGGGAAGGAGAGAGACAGAGAGGGAGGGAGGAGAGAGAGAGAGAGAGAGAGAGAGAGAGAGAGAGAGAGAGAGAGAGAGAGAGAGAGAGAGAGAGAGAGTGAAGGGGGAGAGAGAGAGAAGAGGGGAGGGGAAGAGGGGTGGGGAGAGGGGGGAGGGAAGGAGAAGAGAGGAGTTCTGACTTTAGAGTCTAAAACCCTGCCTTCAATCATTACTTGGCTGCTTCTTTTCCTGTGCCACACTGAGTTAGTCACTTCACTTTTCCGGGCATCCTCTGGAAAATGAAGGGAGTTGGGTGAGATGTACTCTAAGGAGCTCCATATTCTAAATCCTATGGTCCTAAATCCCTCTGATGGATCCTGGATAATTTTACAATCAGTGGAAACATGAAAAAGTCAGGAAAAGTGATGACTATTCCCTGAACACAGTATATTTACCGTTAAGTCTTTAAACAGAAAATGCAAATGTTCCATCTGGGAAAACTGTACTGGATTCTGCAATTGAAATTCCTTCATCTATTTCTATATTTTGTTGGATGAGCAGAGACTTCTTATATGGATACTGATATTTCTCAAATTATTCTTGAGGTAAATGAATTAATGTTATCTCAGTTAACAAATCTATATTTCATTTATTAAGCACCTGCTATGTGTCAGTCATTGTACTAATCGCAGGAGATGAAAAGAATTGCAGAGATGTTAGTCCCTGCCTTCAAGGAGTTTCTAATCTAGCTGGAAGTAGGGGGAGGAGAAAAATGTGTATATAAATAGTGATATCTACAAGATACATAATGGAAATTAATCTTAGAGGGGAAGACACAGCATTTAGGGAAAAGAGGGAACCTGGAGTCAATGAAGATTCAGGGTTTCTTGCCAGTTCTCAGATTCAGTCAATGGAAAGGTGGGTCCATTTAGAAAATGCCTGCAGATTGAAGTGATGGTGCAAGGACACAGTTTTTGTGAAAGGCCTTAAGCCTATCGGTGGTCAGTTAATTTTTTTAAGAGGGAAAAATTGAAGGCGAAGTCATCCAAAAAAAAATCAAACAATTTTTGCATTGACTTGACCAGATATTTTCATGTACCATATCTAATTAAAATTCATATTAGTACTTTCCCTCTGAGACTCTCTCCAATTTACTCTGGATATCTCTTGGTTGTAAGTAGATGTTTGCATGCTGTCTTCCCATTAGACCATGAGCTTCTTGAAATCAGAGACTGATTTCTGCCTTTCCTTGTATCCCCAGTGTTTAGCGCAGAACCTGGAACAGAGTATGTTCTTAATACATGCTTATTGACTTGTTCACTTAAATGCTAAAATTAAATCACCTTACAAGCATGATCTCATTTGGTTCTCATCACCACGTGAGAGATCTACTTACAGGTAATATTATCCCTATTTTATAGGTCAAGAAACTGAGGCTCAGATAGATGGAGCAGCTTGTCCATGGTCAAAGAGCCAGCATGTTCTGGTGGCAGGTTTTGAATCCAGCTCTTTCTGGCAGGGTGAGATAACTTGGTGCAGTGGAAAGAATTCTGTGTATTCCCTCACATTCAAATCACAGGTGATGAGTGAGCCCAGAGGTTCTACCTTCTGAGCTAGTGCTCTTTCCATTGGACCAGAAGTTTACTACCCAGATTACCTTGGATAAGTCACTTCCCCTATCTAGTTCTCAGTTTCCTCCCCTGTAAGATGAGGCAGTTGAAGTAGATGGCCTCCAACATCCCTGGCAGCATGAAATCTATGATACCATGATTCCTTGAGGTGAGGAAATAATATTAACACACCCATGTATTAACTAGGAAGAAAGGAAGCAGTCTCTTGAGTTTCTAGGGAAGCGTTCTTTCCAGTAATAAGGGGACAGGAAATACTTAGGGCATACTCCATTATCTAACTGGTAAAATTTATCCCAGTCTAGAAGTTCTCAGTTCAAATTTGCCAGGAGAAACACAAACTTGTGATGTGCTCACGAGCTCCCTGCTCTAGCGAGCCTGCCCTGTTTGCCTTTCTCTGGGGGCATGCAGTGCCTCTCCCATAGTGCCTCAGGACAGGTTTTTCATTTCCCATACCTCAAATGCTCTTTCTTTTCAGCTACTCTTGGAATCCCTAGTTCCCTTGAAGGCTCAGCTCCAACAGCACCTCCTCAGTGAGGCCTTTCCTTATTCCTTCCACTGGTTATTACTCTCCCCTGCCCTATTCACCCTTGTAATTTTTTGGTTGGGAACCAGATCTGTGATTTCATTGGTGTATGGAACTTCCAGTAAGGCAAATCCTTCTACTAGTGCAGTTCAGCCCCTCCATGCTCAGAAGTGTTAGTCACTTGAGAATCTGATCCTTCATGAGACTGTGGCTGAGCATCTGTTGGGCATGTTAGAGTGGGGATTCTGTCCTGGAATGGCTTGGTCTAGAACTAGAGACCACTGAGGTTCCTTCTACTTCTCCAGTTCTATGATGGTGTGAGTCTATGTTCTAAGCAGACGCTGGTCTTTCTGACTTGGAGGTGGAGGCAGAGCACTCCGGTTCCTAAGAGAACTTGGTGTCTGGCTTGTACTTGTCTCAGTGTACATCCTCCCCCTTCCCTGGAGGAATTTGAGGTCCTTGAGCACAAGGGCTGTTTTCCTGGAGAGCTTTGCATCTCCAGTCCTCGGCACTAGCTAAAGCCGTGTCTCACCTCGAACATGCTAGCTGTGGGGCTTTGAGCGCACCACTTGACCTGTCTGAACTTCAATGTCCACACCAGTGGGATGTGGACAGCAATAGCAGCTACCTCATGGGATTGTTGTGAGGCTCCAATGAGAAAATGCATGTGAAACATTTCACAGACCTTAGAGGGCTATATAATTTCCACAATCATCTGTTTTCATGTGATCCAATCTTTAGCTTCTTCATTTACAGTTAGTTACCTAAAATTAAAAGAGAATTAACAGTGGAAGAAAATATCCCTTTGAAGATAACATATGGCACTTGATCTTTGATGGAGTGCCTCCTACTGGTCATGAACGGACTTTCACGCAGACCCTCCCT